CACTCAACGCCTCGAGCCATCGACCACGGGCAGTCAGGAAGGGATGAGCTCACGCCTGGCCACAGGGGTCCTGAAGAGATCTCTCTCAGGGTAACGAGAGTCCTGCTGGATTCCCTCCACCCACACTCCTTAGAGCCGCAAAGCGATAGACTTGGTGCTGTTGCCCTGACTCCTCCCGCCTCATGCCTCTGCTCCTGCTCTCTCCTCTTCTCTACCGAACAAACTCCTACTCAACCTGCGAAACCAGCTTCCATCAAGGGTTGATGGTATTGTGTGGTGATCCGTGTGTCTGTCGCCCCGGGTTATAAGCTCCTGAGGGTAAGGGTAACATCTCCTTGATCCAAGCTGGCGCACAGGTGCTGCTGCACAACTGCGTGCAGAGTGGCCTGGATTCAGAGACATGACAGCGACCGTAGTCCTCACAGTCACAGTCACCGTGTGCTAAGCACCTCACCCTCATGACCTCATTCAGCCTCATAGCAACACGGCAAGGGGGGTTCGTGTCACTGCTTTCCTCTTTCTCTCTCTCTCTCCTCCTTCTCTCTCTTTTCTCTTTCTTTCTTTCTTTTTTAATTTGCTATGGGGCACATGTACTTACCAGAGAAAGACAGAGAGAGAGGGAAAGTGACAAAGCACCCCCCTGAGGGCGTGGCCATGCTGCAATCCCTTCTCCTCCATTCTCTCCTGAGGATGTTGGGCACACACACCCAGCATAATTTTCAATCCACTGGGCCCTGGATTGGGACCGTGGTCAGCCATGTGGGATCCAGCTACCTTAACTAACTCGGTGCCACCTGGCTGGCCCTTATCATCACTGTTTTATAAGAAGGAAAACTGACCCTGGGAAGGTTGAAAACTTGTTGAAGGCCAAAGAGCTGGTAAATGAGGGACCCCAGGTCCAATGACTGTTCTGTTACACCTTCATCGCTCTCTTCTGTTTCAGTCCCCCATGGGCAGGGACCAGGGACCCTGTTGTACTCCTTCACCCCTCGGACCTAGCATGGTATGTGCACATGATTGAATGAGTGAATGAATGAATATGTAACCGCCGCCATCTCACAACCGATGGCTCAAGTTCCAGGTGCCAAGCCATTCTGAGGCCCAAAGCAAAAGGAAAGAGGTGCGCTCCCATACACATGCTTTTACACGTTGCGTTCCTAGTTCCTTTCCTAGAACATCAAGGGGTAAACATTGGAACAGTGATTCATATCAAATATTGAAACAATTAAAAGCAGGAGAATTAAAATCCATTGGAATGGCCTAACCTTGTGGCCCAACAGTTACAGGAGCTGGATTCCACATGGTCAACCATGTGGTTCAAATCCTGGCCCTGGCGGCCTGAAAGACACACCAGATGCGTGCATGTGCCTATTGAAAATCCCAACAGGGTGGCGAGATGGAGGAGGGGGCAGCATTGCGTGCTCCATTGAGGGGTGCTTTCTCCCTCTCCCTCTCTCTCTCTCGCTGGTGAGTGCACATGCCCTCTGGCAATTAATGCATAAAATACCAAAATTTTAAATAGAAACAGATTCAAGGGCCCACCCTATAACACAGTGGTTAAACCATGCTGGTTGGGAGCTGGATCCCACAAGGCTAACCACTGTTTCATTCCCAGCCCAGGTTGCTTGGATTTTTTTGTATTTACTTTGATTTTTTTTTTAACTAAGTATTGCCTTAAAATACTATTTGTATTCCCATGCATTCCCATGCATTCAACCAAGGTTCAAGTCCTGGACCTAGTGGCTTAAAACTCACGCTGGGTGCATGTGCACGTGTGCCCAAAATCTCGAGAGGAGAACGGAGAAAGGATTGCAGTATGGCCATCCTCCTTGGGGGAAGGGGGCTTCTCGCTTTCTGTCTGTCTTTTTCTGTCTCTCTGGTGAGTGTGTGTGCCCTATAGTCAAAATCTCTCTAAAAATATATATAATTTGTTTTGGTTACTGAGGTTTTTCTGCACTCTCTCCAATTCTGTGACCATGGCAGGTGCCTCCTGGCCTCACCCAATCCTGGCCCGCCAAATCCCAAAAGAAGGATGATGTCAAAGTGACTGGCCTCGATCCTGCAGGTGAGGGTACAAACCGACACAGCCTCTCTGCAGGGCAGACTAGTGACAAGTATCGAGAAACATGAAAATGGTCCTTTCCTTTGGCCAAGCAGAACTCTACTCCTGGAGAGTTGTCTAAGAAATCCATTGATATGGACAAGTTGTTCTGGACACAGATGTTCATTTCAGTGTTACTTATAGCAGCAAATGCTGGAAATAACTTGACTACCTAACAGTAAGAGATCCGTGTTTTTAGAAAGCTGTTCATGTAATAAAATATAACACAACTGCTTCGAATCATGTTTCTTTACAACATTTTCGAAGACTATTTAATGGCATGGGAAAGCACTCATGGTACCTTTTGTAGAAATGCAAGACCGAAAACTATATACGCCATATAATTTCACTAGAAATGTTTGGTTTTTTTTTAAAATACATGGGTCCAGGAGGGGGCATAGTGGCTAAGGCTACACTTCCACATGGCCAACCACGGATCAAGCCCTGGACCTGGAGGCTTGACAATCACTCTTGGCATGTGCACGCGCATGCCCAAAATCCCAGGAGGAGAATGGAGAAGGAACTGCAGCATGGCCATGCCCCGGGGGAGATTTCTCCCTTTCCCTCTCGTCATCTCTCTCTCTCTACAGCTCTCCTCTGATGAATGCATGTGCCCGATGGCAAAAACCTTACATAAATAAAGGAATACACAAAAATGTTAGCAGTAGTTGCTTTTTAATAATGGAATTATGAGTGACTTTTAAATTATTCCTTCTACTTTTTGGGTACATGTCTTCTTTCTACTCTTTTCTATATTTCAAGGATTATAATCAGGAAGTAAAGAAGACACTTAAGTTAGTTTATCTAGTGAGTCTCTCCTCCGGATAGAACTAGGAGAACAGGGAGCAGCATGCTTCATTTCGGTTTTTGCTTTTGCCCTATAACCAAAGAGAGAAGAGAGAAACAGAGAGGGGGAAAGTGAGAAATCACCCCCAAGGGGGGATGGCCATGCCACAATCCCTTCCCTTCCATTCTCCTCCTGGATTTTGTAATACATGCACATGCGCCCGGCGTGATTTTCAAGCTGCCAGGTCTGGAGGACTCACACTGCTGTCCACCACATGGGAGTCCAGTGCCTTCACCACCATGCCACCTGCTGGTCCAGGAAACACCATGCTTTGTTCCTTGGTGCAGTCCAGAACTCAGCAGGGCCTGGCACATGGTAGGTGCTCAGTAAACACCTGCTGGGTAACTCCTTGGGACTAAGTGACTCCAGAACTCCTTTTAGCAACCAGGAGTCTTGGATGTAAGAGATGAAACATAACTCCGTGTAAGGGTCAAAGGTGTGTGTTCACTCACAGGTGAGGTGCCCCCCTTTAGAGCTCCGCTTTGGGACAGGACTATCAACATCTTTCTCTCAGCCCTGCTTGGCTCCCCTGGAGCCAGCAGGCACAAAGGCCCCGATAGCTCCTGAGTCACCTCCTTCCAACTCCACTCCAAGGCCATGGGATCCCCAAAGGACAGATTGTGGGCACAGGTCCCCGACTGTCCCCCTTGTCCTCTTAGTCAGCTGGCCTATGGTTAATGTAATGCAAAATCTTAATGTGGTCAAATCCAGCAAACTTTTTTTTTTTTTGCACTTCCTATATTCATAGGGTAGGATTTATAAAACTTGTGACATTTTAAGTTTTGGTCATTTAAAACATAAGGGGTTCTAAAGTTCAGAGGCAGTCTCCAAAAAAAAAAAAAAAATTAGACTGTTAAAGCCACCGGGCAAAGAGGTGCCCTGAAAGTGTCTGTTCTTAGCCAACATGAAACCTTCTGTCTCCCCAACATCCACCACAGCCTGCTGGCCAGGACCACTCGCTGTTGACGGTGGCCGTTCTTAAAGTCCCAGTGATGTGGGCTGGAGAATCGGCTCTCAAGATCGGCAGGGTCTGGCTCAGGGATGCCACCAAGCTCCCAAAGTTCCCAGATTTCTGTGCCTGGGGCCTTCAGGGTGTGGGTGATCCCCAGGCTGTCCCACCAGGGGCTAAGTCACAGCCCGTGATGGTTCTTCTGCGAGGACAGAGCGCAGTCGGGTCCTGCCAGCCCCGCAGCCGGATCCCTTTGCATACGTGACCTTCATACGGAGATGAAGACAGAGCAGGGAAGGCCACAATGATGACGATCCATTTCCAGAGGAGGAGGCTGAGGTTCAGGATAGCGGCCACACTGCAGCCAAGCGGCAGGACTGGATTCCGGACCCAGGAGTTTCGCTTCCAAATTCTGTCGTCTTTCCACCTCTGAGTGTTTCCCATGGGACGTGAGAGCCACGGGTGACATGCCAAGAAAGAACTTCTTGGGCCAAGTGTTGTGGGAAATGAAAGTCATAGCACTCGCTAAGCCACTGGTTTCCCAACCTTTTTGGCATCAGGAAACAGTTTCATGGAAGACCATTTGTCCATGGATCAAAGGAGGTGTGCGTGTTGGGGAGGGTTTATGGGAGCGCACGACCTAGACCCCTTGCATTCACAGTTTGCAGTGGGGTTTGTGCTCCTATGAGACTCCAGTGTCACTGCTGACCTGACAGGAGGCAGAGCTCAGCAGGCATGTGAGCGATGGGGAGCGGCTATAAATACAGAGGGGGCGACACTAGCCCACCCTCCGCTCTCCTCCTGCTCTGCGCCCAGCTCCTAACAGGCACCAGGGCTTGGGGAACCTGGCGCTATACTCCTGAAGGCTCTGAGAAGTCCTGCATGAAAGAAGTGGATTGAGCTTGTTGAATCTAATTTTTGCTTGCGTGTGTTTGACATGTGATCTCGTCTTTCCTGGGACAAGGGTATCTATGAACACACTGTGGGGAGTCACTGAGGTGCCCCCAACAACTACGCGCATTCATTACAATGACAGCTTCCAAGAATCTGCACTAGCATGTGATCATCCGGGGGACGTAGTCTCAACTGGTTTCCCAGAAGTAGCCGAGGCTCCAGGAGAATCCGCAGGTATCAGGGTTCTCACTCGCTTCCTTGTGGACAGCTCCCTGCGTGAAAGAGAAAGCTGTGGATTGCAGCGTCAGCCCCGGGCAACTGCTCAGGACTTCCAGCCTGTCTGTGCCTTAGCAAGGACCCCCGTGTCCTCATGACCTGTGTGCAAACAGACCCAGCGCTTATGGGTTGTGATACATGTAGTCACTTCTGTTCCTTTTCTGTGTCTTTTTAGTAATTATTTTATTTAATTTTATTTATTACTATTATTATTTAAAATTTGCTTTATGGCATGTGCACTCACCAGAGAGAGAGAGAGAGAGAAGGAAAGTGAGAAAGCAAGCCACCAGGTCTGAGACTCAAACTGTGGAGGGCCGTGTGCAAGTGCAGCACCTTAATCACCACACCACCTGCTGGCCTGATTCCTGTTTCTTTCCCATTTGAACTAAGAATCACCTTTGAAATACGTCCGCCCCAGGCCTCATGAGGTTCAGTGGGAATGCTGTGCCACCCCCTTGCCGTGGTACCCGCTGCTCTGGACGCAGTACTTGTCCTGAGGAGCGGGAAGTCGGCCCAAACAGAGTCAAGTAATCCCTTCCAAGAGGCAGATGCACGGACTCTGGGCCCTAAGTGGGTGAGAATCGGCCCAGCAGAGCTCCCCTCCCCACCCTGCAGAGAAAGGCCTGGCTGAGATTTCAGCCCACACGCAGGAGGAAGCAGAGCTGAGCACTGTGGAGAGAGCTAGATTGAGGGGACCAGAGTCTTGGTGATGTCGCCTGAGTCCCAGGAGCCGTGGAGCCTGCCCCTGCCCCAGCCCCTGTGTTCTCAGGTGAGCCAGCTGCTTCAGCTCATTACGGCTGCATTTCTGCTCATTAGCGACCAGAAGAGAATTGGGATGACTATGTCTTCACCCTTGATTGGATGGATCACTACAGACTTTGAACAGCCATATGGCACCCACGAAGATGTACAGCGATTACGTGTACACCAGAAATCACGACGAAGAAAAAGAGACAGCGATGTTTCCAGAATGGTACCCAACAGTGGAGATTACAACTTATGGTCTAAAATGGGGAATTAGCTGAGCTGAGTGGGGTGCAGGGCTGCGAGGGTCCCCCAGTACTTGCTTGGAGGACACTGAAAATCCTTGTTATGTAATAGGAGGTGAGGCTCTGGGTTCAACTTTTTTTTTTTGAGAAGTTTTTGCTATAGGATGCGAGCGCTCACCAGAAAGAAAGACAGAAAGCAAGAAATCACCCCCCCAGGGGGTATGGCCATGCCACAATCCCTTCTCCTCCATTCTCCTCTTGGGATCTTGGGCACATACGCATACACGCCCGGCGTGAGTTTAAGTCACTTGGTCTGGGATTCGAACCACAGTCAGCTACATGGGAGTCCAGCAACAGCCATTATGCTAACTGCTGGTCTCAAACTTTTTTTTTTAAAGAGAGATTTTTGCTATAGGGCACATGTGCTTGCTGGAGATAGAGAGACAGAGAGAGAGAGAGAGAACATGAGCAATATCCCCTGAGGGAGGGTGACCACACCACAATCCCTCCACCTCCATTCTCCTCTCGGGATTTGGGGCATGCACAGCAGGAATTTCAAGCTGCAGGGTCCAAGACTCGAACCACAGCTGGTCATGTGAGAGTCCAGTGCCCCAACCACTGTGCCTCCTGTTGGCCTCCGGCACTGGGTTAAACTTTGCCAGCTGTGTACTGAGACACCAATTGTACGACTCGAGGGCTACAGCCCTAGGGGATTTGGTAGAAACTGTCGAGACGCTGGACCGCATTGGCTAATCAGGCAGCCCTTCTTGAGAAGGGACTGGAAGAAGGGAGATGTCTCTGGTCAAGCCAGCCCACGGGAAGGCAGAGAAAGTCATTGACATGGCCTGCTCCTCTGTGGCCACCGAGGTGGGGAGGTGGAACGGGAGGCAGGGAGGAACGGCCGTGTGCTCAGTCACCCTGAGCCCTGTGGGAAGAGTCGAGGTCACAGATGCTCATGGGGCCAGGGTTTTTCCTGAGACGGTGACGTTAGACGCCACTCCCACCCCAGAACAAAGTCCAGACCGAGGACGCGCTGCCAAAACTCACCCTGTTCTCTGTCCAAAACCAGGAGGGGGAAGCAGCTACAGATGGTGTGCGGAGGGGTCTCCATTTACTCATTCGGGAAATCCGCACCATAAGCGCCCTATGAGCAGGCACTGCTCTGGGCACTAGGTACAGAGATGACAGGGACGGATGGGGCTCATGCACTCGGGGTGCTCACTCTCCACAGGGGGCAAAAGGCACTCACAGAAGATTCGCACATAGTGTAAAGCGCTCCAGAGAAATTCAACAGGGGGCTGGGGGGCTGATACAGAGGGACCTGGAAGGCTTTTTTTTTTTTTGGAGAGGTTTTCGCTATAGGGCGCGTACGCTCGCCAGACAGACAGACAGAGAGACAGAGAGACAGAAAGTGAGAAATCACCCCCCAGGGGGGATGGTCACGCCGCAATCCCTTTGACAAGCAGTGTGCAGCGTGGAGGGTGGATCGGAAGTGATTCCAGTGAGGGGAGACGTAGCAGAAATGAGCTAGATTTCTCTGGAGGAGGAAAACGGCTCTGAATCCACAGTCCTGCCCTGATGTGCACGGGGTTTCTTTTAGTTTAAGGAAAAATTAGGAGAAAGTGAGGTGCTTCATAGAATAGTCAGATTGAAAGAAAAAGTCTTTTTTCTTAATTTTGTTGCAAATATTCAAAACTTTTTTCAGAGCTAAATGACAATAAAAAGTCCTTTAAACTCTGTAAGAAAGTGGGGGGTTTTGTCTTTGTTTTTGTACAAGATTGTGTATGTGTTGTTGGTTTGCTACTTGTTGTTGTTTTGTTTTGTTTCCGCCATAGGACACGTGCACTCACTAGAGAGAGACAGTGAGAGGCGAAGTGAGGAATCGCCCCTTGAGGGATGACCACACCACCATCCTTTCTCCTCCATTGTCCTCTCAGAATTTGGGGCATATCACACATACTCATGGTGTGATTTTCAAGCCACCAAGTCCAGGACTCGAACTGCAGTTGCCCATGTGGAAGTCCAGCACCTTAATTACCATGCCACCTGCTGACCCCTGTATATGTGTTTTTTAAAAACAATTTTTAAGCCCCAAATAAGAGTTTTCAGAGAACTTCGGCTTATTGTGTATCTCTATCCTCTTTCATTTACTGGGTTCAAAATGTGTTGTTTGACCTTTTCACTTTATGATTTTATTTTCATATCAATGTCTTTCTGATTTGTTGCCTACTTATTTGTGGGGACAGACACTCATAAATATCCTGTACGTCTACCAGAATAATGTGTTTGGAGGTTGCCTTCTATTTTCAGCTTTTATATTCAATTTTGTTATTTCAGAGAAATGGAGGAGAACTATCAGTTTGATCGACTCAATACCTCACCTCTTCCAGACTCCGAGCCATCGCTGTTCTGTCTTTTTGATGATTTTTCATGGGTCTGAGGTGGTACCTGAAGAGAATCTGTCTCTTACGTTTTCTGAATTCTTATAACAGTGATAGATTATTTCTATTATAAAACTGAACTTTTGTAGGGTAATTCATTTTCTAAGGCTGTTACTTTTAAAGAATCAACTTAGTCTTTATCGAATTCAAAACAAAACACTTCTCAACCACCAAAGACCCTCTGCCCAGACTTCACCTCCCTGCTCCCTGGTCTAGCCAGGAGCCAAGATAAGCCAATCAGCCACCATCTATATCTCAGTTAAAAGCGACCCCTTTTAGGAATTTCGACCACCAAAAACCCTCTTCCAGACTTCACCCTCCTGCTCCCCGGTCTAGCCAGGAGCTAGGAAAAAAAAGGTATATAAATAAATGTATAATCTATCAGATGACCAGAAACCACTGTAGAAGCACAAGAAATGTGAGAAGTGAGGAAAATATCTCTGCTCTAATGGAAAAGAATAACTCCTCTTCCTCTACAAAGAATACCAGGGAACTCGTGGAAATGTTAGATAAAAGATTTAAAATATAGTGACAAAGCTAACAGAGATGCAAGAGAATAGAGACAACGAACTCCAGAAGATGCAGGAGAAAAGAGACACTGAGTTTCAGGAGGTGAGAAAGTTCTTGCACGATCTGAAAGAGGAGGTACACACCATTAAAACAAATCAGATGGAAGTGTTAGAGATGAAGGCTGTAATACAGGAAATTAAAACTTCCATCGAAAGTATCAAGAGCAGATTAGACCATGCAGAAGATTGAATCTCAGATATAGAAGATAGAACCTCCAACACAGAAAAATTCACCAAAAAAGACTGAGAAAAGAACCCCCTCAAATGAGAATAACATACAAGTTATGCTAGATACCATTAAATGCCCAAACATCTGGATCATCGGTATGCCAAAAGGTGAAAAAACTAATAAGGGCATAGAAAGCTATTCCATGAAATCCTAGAAGAAAAGTTTCCAAACCCAGAGAGGCATTCAAATATCCAGACCCAAGAAATACAAAGGACCCCCAACAGAATGATCTTCCCTGAGGCACATCATAGCCAGATTGATCAAAACCACAGACAGAGACAAGATTCTAAACTTGGCAAGAGAGAAACATCAAGTTACTTTGAAAATATATCCCATCAGGCTAACATCAGACTCTCATCAGAAACAATGCAAGCAAAGGAAGAATGGGAAAATATATTCAAAGTGTTGAGTGAAAAACAATTTCAACCAAGAATACTATACCCAGCAAGATTATCTTTCATTTGGGAAAAAAAGCCAAAAACATTCTCAGCTAAACAAAACCTGAAAGAATTTACCAACACCAGATCAGCTCTCCAAGAAGTGCTGAAGGGAGTGCCGTACCAGGAAAACTAAAGTCGGACACACAGAAATAAGAGCACAAGAAACAACCAAGAGAATGGCCGGCCTCATGGTAGGGACGAGTCCGGAGTTGAATGTTAACCCCCAGAGTTTACATGGAAAGATCAGACCGCAGTAACACTGCAACTTCAATAGAAGAGAGATTAATTATGTGAGTCTGATCTAGTGAAATAGAACTTTTTGATTTTA